ATATAAGCATTACGTATTACAGTATATNTAAATCATGTAATGTTGGAAATATGCAGGTTTACCTTTAATAAAAACATTTTCATGCATCCTGCATATGCATGAATGCAATCACAATGCAAAGTACATTTTATGAATTTTATATTACATTCTGGAGCTAAATAAACCTGATATGAAGATATTTCGAGTGCAATGCACTTGCAACATGCATAAGGCGTGTAGGCATGCACTCTCTCACACTCATATGTGAATATAATAAACAACTTTTCCGTATTGATTGCATTGTGTAGTGCAAATGGTAAAGAGGCAATGGTCAAGTGCACGAAATGATTATAAATATTCGCATCTACCATTCTCATCGTCATTTTCCATTTTGCGAGTTCATAGTTCGCGAAAATAGTAGGAGGGCCGGGCAGTCGGGGAAAGGCGGGGTGGGTAGTCGGGGAAAGGCGGGGCAGAGCAGTACAGAGTGCAATGCTGTTTTTAGGTAGAATTGTGTTTCTTTTTCGATGTACTAAATACAATTTAGTTTTCACATATATCAAGTTTTACTTTTGAAAGGAAAAAGAATTGTTTGAAATTCAAATTTTTGAAACATAAAACTTGTCAAAAATCAAATTTGGTTAAAATCTCATGTAAATTATTACCAATCATACAGTATTTTTTAAATGCTATCATTGATATGTAATCTATGATCGAAGGATTTCTGAAGAGTACAGTGTTCTTTATCAATTAACTGGTTGATTGATTGGTTTACGGTATGAAACGGAAAAAGCACAAAAGGATTATTGGAAATAGTGTTGATTTGAAATTCCGAATGGAAAAGATGAATTTCGTTGTGACGTTAGGACTCGAAATTAGAAAGGATAAGTAAATTAATCATAGATATGTTGTGTTGCATCGCGGAAAATGTTACAGTGTTGCATCGTTATGCGTAGATTGACATAGGACACATAGATTGACATAGGACACATAGATTGAAGAATTCGAGGTCAACTTTAAAGAATGCGCGAAGGATGTGGGGTCAACCTTGAAAAATGCGCCAGTTATGAGCAGAAAGGGGAAAAAATTGGCAATTAAATTTCTGAAATTACTTCAGTTTACTGTAAGAAATAAGGCTTTATATCATAACATGACTGGATCATGAAACGGTTTAATTGATAGGATGAGAAGCTTCTGATGAACATTCTTTGATTTATGTTATTATTGTTCTTTTCGAAACAAAGAGAAGAGAAAGAGAGAGAGGGAGAGAGATAGAGAGGGAGAGGGAGAGAGGGATTTTTTTTTCGTATGAAATTTCGTATGTTGATTGTTTGTAATTGTTATTAAAGTACATTTTGTAGGAGAAAAAACATGCCGTCTCGTTCACTTGCCGAACTTAACGATGCATCAAAGATGGTTTCTTTTTTTTTGCTCTTTAATTCTTGCAGTCTAAAAACTTTTATATTTACTCTACGACTTTTCCCTTTTCTTTTAAAATTCCGGAAAAGGAAAAAAGGCGAAAAAAAAATTTTTTTCTTAAAATAATTTTCTTATTCAAAAGAGTTGTCAGATTTTTGTTCTTTTTTCAGAAAGTTAACGAAGTAGTCACTCATCAACTTAACAATGTACCCATCATCAAAGGTCATTTCCAAAATTTGCCGCAAAAAGTTCAATTGTTCGTTGCCGAAAAGGCTGATCTGTTAACACCACGTGCGATTTATATTTGTGATGGTTCCGAAACAGAATACAATGAACTGATTGGAGAATGCTTGGAAGCAGGTGTTTTGACACCATTGAAGGCATACAAAAACAATTATCTGTGTCGTACGGACCCACATGATGTAGCTCGTGTTGAATCGAAGACATGGATGATTACTCCGGAAAAATACGATTCGGTTTGTCATACACCGGAAGGAGTAAAGTCAATCATGGGTCAATGGATGTCACCAGAACAATTTGGCAATGAGTTGGATAACCGTTTTCCGGGCTGCATGAATGGTGAGAAAAATGCTTTACTGATTTTGTAACAATCCTATTATGGAAAATGTTGATATTTTTCAGGTCGTACAATGTACGTAATACCATTTTCAATGGGTCCTGTTGGTGGTCCACTTTCCAAAATTGGGATTGAACTTACCGATTCAGTGTAAGATTTCTTCTCCACTTGTTTGATTTCCACATAAACTGATTTTGCTTCTGTAATGTTTTATTTTCTTTTAGATATGTTGTACTGTGCATGAAAACTATGACTCGAATGGGTGCACGAGTCTTGAATGAGCTACAGAAAGGAGGCGGTCAATTCGTGCGTTGCATCCATTCAGTTGGACAACCACGTCCTGTTCTCAGTAAATTTTTTACACCTCTCAACAATCATCATCATGTTTAGCTGTCTTGGATAAGAAATTGCAATCGATTTATTCCGTCAAATTTCAGCCAAGGTTATTAACAGTTGGCCATGCAATCCAGAGAAAACAATCATTGCGCATCGTCCAGCGCAGCGTGAGATCTGGTCATTCGGTTCCGGATATGGTGGTAATTCACTTCTAGGCAAGAAATGTTTTGCTCTTCGGATTGCCATGAATATCGGTTATGATGAGGGTTGGATGGCTGAACATATGCTGGTATATTAATGTTACCATTTTAGAGTTAAATAAACTTCAGTATAACAATTTAATGTGCTCCTTTTTTTCATCTATCCAAACTGCAGTTGTCACTTTTCTTATTCCTATTTTGTAAACTACACTTTTCTTGTCATTTAATCCAGTAAAAGATAAGATTTTTTTAAAGAGGAAGGAGTTCGAGATATTAAATTTTGTAGATTATGGGTATTACCAGTCCGCAGGGAAAAGAACGTTTTGTTTGTGCGGCATTTCCATCCGCATGCGGTAAAACAAATTTGGCAATGCTTGAGCCAACTGTTCCTGGATGGAAAGTGCGTGTTGTTGGTAAGTTTTGATTAAGCGTGATATGCATCAAATTTGGAAAAAAGAAATTTCGAATGAGTTCATCTTTATGTAGGCGATGATATTGCTTGGATGAAATTTGGCGCTGATGGTCGTTTGTATGCCATTAACCCGGAGGCCGGTTTCTTCGGCGTAGCACCTGGGACATCTCATAAAACAAATCCTATGGCAATGGCGAGTTTCCAGGAAAATTCCATCTTCACAAATGTTGCCGAAACCGCTGATGGTGAATATTTCTGGGAGGGACTTGAGAAGGAGCTAAAGAATCCAGTATGTTTTGTTTTACTCAAGTCGACCTGCGATATAATTTGTTTTTTCTGGAGAAGATTTTCAGCCTAATTTTTTTTGCGAAGATTTTTCAATCTATCTTTCGTACTCATATCTAGCATTTTTTTTTCTACTTGCATTTACAAAGATTCTAAGGAAGTTTGAAGTTTAGAATGTTGATATGGTTGATTGGCTAGGAAAACCATGGCATCTTGGAGACTCGACGAAAGCGGCCCATCCAAACTCACGATTCACTGCACCTGCAGGTCAATGTCCAATCATTCATCCAGATTGGGAAAAACCTGAAGGTGTACCGATCGATGCAATCATTTTTGGCGGTCGAAGGTTTGTATGTCCAACTCGGGTGATAAAAATTTCCTTTAGCATTATCAATTAATATTTATGGACAATTAACTCAAATATATCCCCATGTTTTTTTGAGCAGAAGAGAGAGGAGAGGGGCAAACTGAGAGAAATCACTTGAGGAGAAAGAAGGCGGGAAGCTTTAATTTTTTGAAATGAAGTCAACACTATCAATGTTGCTGTATTTAACAATACATGTAAAGTTCACTTTAAGGCCCGAAGGTGTACCGCTTGTATTTGAGTCACGCAGCTGGGTGCACGGTGTCTTTGTGGGCGCATGCGTAAAATCAGAAGCTACTGCAGCTGCTGAATTTTCGGGTACATGCATAAACATTTTAAACCAATCTATTTAATGAATTCCTTAGCAGTCTGTCTACCACTTACATGTACTGCAATTGTTGCATTGCATCTGTGATAATTAAGGACTCCAACTATTGCAAATATTTCAAATATACTCCTTCAAGAGGTTTTTATACAAGTTGAGCTTGGATTATCATCATTAGTTTAGGTAAACAAATTATGCACGACCCAATGGCTATGCGACCATTCATGGGCTACAATTTTGGACGATACATGCGTCACTGGATGAAACTTGGACAACCGCCACACAAGGTTTGTTAAAGCTTTTTCATTTTTTTTTTTTTTGTATTTAAAATCACTGCTAATTTGTCCTCATGTATGACAGGGTCCAGCATGACACTCTGAACGAATTGCTCTCAATTAAAGCGGGAATGTACCTTCAACTTGTTAAAGGTGCCGAAGATCTTCCATGTCAATTGGTTCCGTACAACTGCAGATGGCAAATTTTTGTGGCCTGGTTATGGCGAAAACATTCGTGTTTTGGACTGGATTCTAAGACGATGTGATGGTGATAACAGTATTGGCCTCGAGTCGCCAATCGGTTATATACCAAAAGAGGGTAGGTAATGAGTTATTGGGAAAAATGAATGAGAAATGAAAAATGAGACTTCTCTGTTATTGTGAGCAGTTTGGAGTTGATGAAAGCTTATGTAAAGTTTTTTCTCTGAAGAGAAAGTGGCAAGTTTAGGTTCGATTAACCTCAATGGTCTTCCAAACATTAACTGGGCTGAATTGATGTCACTGCCGAAAAAATACTGGGTAGAGGATATGGAAGAAACCAAACATTTCTTCGAGCAACAGGTTAGTCACTGTCTTGTAATTCTAATTCGAAAATTTCAGGTGTCTTGTAATTCTAATTCGAAAAATCGCAGTGAGTGATTTCAATTTCAGTGGGATTCACTCAGTTTTTTTCAGGTTGGCTCAGATCTTCCACCTGAAATCGCAAAGGAGCTTGAAGAGCAGACAGCGAGGATCAAAGCTATGCCATGATTTCAGCTCTTAAGAACAACAATGATGAAATGACCTTTTTTCCCTCAAATGTTCTCAGTGACTATTAGGGTCTGAAATACACTTCTATTTATAATTTGTAGGTTCATACAGTTATCTTTTCTAGATATCTATAAGTTATTGCCGTACATAGAATGATCAGTAAAATCTCCCAAGGAGATAATGCAGTAAGCTGATTGACTTCTTATCATGTTCAAGCATTTGCGTAAACTGATTATTCGATGTTCATGTGTTTGTTCGAGATCCTTCTGATGCAATTTTTTATTACTTTCTATTTTATAAATGTTAATAGTTGCTCCTATGTGTTGCATACAGATTTCTTCTATCTGTTTTACTGGTATAAGTAATTGTATGTTCACTGAAAATCACAGGTGTAAGAAATCTACCTAAAAATTTTCCCACAGGTTAGAATCATATGGGGCGTTTATTAATTATTTAGCATGTCTTCCAATAATTTTTAGATCTGTAGTTAAATCTTATCCAAGCTGCCTTCAAAATTCGTGAGGTAAGAGGACTGCATCATTTTATTATTCATGGCTATAAAAATTAAAACAACGAGGTCTTTCAGCGTGAGTTTTACAATCCATTTGTTTTAGATATTCATTGCTACTCTTCCAATTCACTGGTCAGTGGTGCTAAGATTTGATCTTCTATTTTTGTTTATTTCATCATAGTAATTGAAATAAGAGAAAGTAATCGCTCTAGAGTATGTGTCAAAGTAAGGAAACAGACTTCCTTGTTTTCATCTTAGTATCCTAGTGAAAATGTTTTTGTTTTGAAACGAATGATTGAGTGATGATCTAAACAAAGGAAACGATATTTGCTTTAATTTAAGATAATGTGAAGAGCTTGGGAAGATAGCAAATTCAAGTCTTTCATAAAAAATAATAGAGTAAAATCAATTTAATATTGCTTCAAAAGCAATAAAACATGGACGAAAAAAAGTAACAAAGAGAAACAAGCATGGTACCTGAGCTCGCCATTCAGTGATTAAACTGACTGATTTGATACTGAACAAAGTAAAACTATTATTTTGTACAAATTGCGTATAAGTAATGTTGGTGATAAAAAAAAAATTGAAAGAATTAGCGAAAACCGTCCTACATAATTACAAACTGTTTACTTTCTTAAAGAATAGTTTGCAATACTCGTAACTGCCTATCATTACAGCACAAGCAAGCGAAACTTTCATTACACGTGGTACCACACCTGAAATAAGCAAGAAATGAATGAACAAAGAATATGAAAGAATTCATATATTTCTTGATGCGTTTCGAAAATATTTTCTTTTGTACACTTTATTTTGAAACCAAATAAATGACCATAAATTACCAGCAAACAGAGCTCTAAATCCTTTCTTTTCATAAAGTTCTTTCATAACACCAAAAGAGCGTCTGGATCGAATCTCCATGTCACATCTTTCCGTTATGATCGTATTACAGCCATAGTTTTCTTTCATTTTCATACTCCCATTACTGTGTTCCTTAATCTGCTTTGTATTTTGTATCTAAAACAGTTGAAGACATCAATTTACCGAATATAACTAATTTGATCATTCTTAGAACTAAAATTGCAACTATAGAAAAGAGGCTCACACTACCATGACTTCTCCTTTGGTATCTCGACTAAACATCAAAAACACTATACATTACATGAAACAAAAAATGTCAATCATCAAACTAATTCGTCTAATTCATTTACGGATTAGATTTTCAACAGTTCAGTTCCAAGTTCACGCATTTTATTTTTTTCTCATGCATTTAATTAATCCTGCCAAATTTACAACGAAACCAAATCTACAACGAATGCTCTTGACCTATGAGTCAGTCTTCGTTCGAAATTTTTTAAGACAAATAAAACCTGGAAGAAAGAATATGGATAAGCTAGAACCTTTCCTAAGGCAATCTGACGATGAGTTTTAACGACGTCAAATGGAGTTGTTACAAATGCTGCCACCGAACCAGCCATCGCACCACACACAAAACTAATCAGAAAATTTGTTTCTCGTTGATTAAATCTCTGTAAAGCGTTCGCTTTCAAATATTCATATCCTGACCAATATACAGCTGCAATTTGCTTTGTAAGTGAAATACTTATATTACTAATTCATTCCCGAGTAATACAGAGAACATGGAATTTTAATTTAATGGAAGACCACAAACCGGAAAACGGCATGTCACGCATTAACATGGGACTCCAACCACGCCACAGACTAATCCATCCTTCAGCTGCTTTGGACCGCTGAAAAGCCAACCCGATATCTGGAAGGAAAGTAAACATATAAAGCAAATAATTTTCTATATATGTTGCCTTGTTAAGTAAAATACTTACATCAAGTTTTTTTAAGCTAAAATCATATCAGCTTGCTTATCAAACAATTATTCAGGTGTACATTTTCGAATAAACACAGTAAATAATTTTAAAAAACCAGACCTTCCTAATTCCATTAATTAATGACAAATCCATACCTTTAAAGTCTTACAGTCACAACCTTAACATCGCCTACATCTGCATACATGGAATTAATACAAACAATTGCTAAATTTTAAAAGCACATCTGGAAATTTCCTTCGCGAGATTCTGGTTTCCATATTGCTCTGAATCTGAACACTGTACCTTTATATGTAAGTCGTTCACTTTGCATTTTTGTTCTTATCAATTCCAGAGGCGAAACGATAGTCAAAGCAACCAGACGAGCAGATGATCCAGCAACCAAGGGAATCCAATAAGATTTCTGATTATATTTCTCTCTCAACCAGCACAACATATTATCATAGACTGTATAATAAAGTACTGTCGCCGGTACAGCCATAATTCTAGAAACACTTGATTTGAATATTATTTACTATCGATTTATGAGTAATGATGTAATTAAACCGTCTATTGATTGAATTAGTTAATGAATAATAAAGAAATTCCACTTCCTTACAGCGTCGGAGAAAGCCCACTCCATAGTGAACGGATTCCTTCCGTTCTCGTAATTTTGAACAGCGCATCCTGAAAATTCAACGTTTTTGGAGGATTTCTAACATTTTCTTGACTTATATGAAGTTTGCAGTACTGTAAGAGATAAGAGATCCTTCCACAAAATTTCAAATTTCGTTCGATAAACGAAATGTTACCGTTGTTCCTGTAAAATTCCCTGGTCTTGCAAACCATTCACATGGCTCCTTAGAATTTACATCAGCACAAGTTGTACATAAATGGTCCATTAAACCATTTGAGTACAGGAAGCAGGTGCCTTTAACGAAAGGATGCGCTTGTTGTTGCAGACGTATTTTTACGACATCCATTGGTGTCACTAAAATGAACTAAAATTTGACAGAATTAAACAAAAGGGAATTTGTGGAAGGAATTCAAAGAAACTACTAATTATTTTAAAAGAAAGTAACAAAATCAAATGAAATATAACCTTCACCATATCTTGCAAGCTTAATGTGTGCAAGAAGAAAAAGGATGAAAGCTGCGATGGAGAAAGGATCAGAACCAAAGCATATGCTGAGATCAACAGGTATGAATAAAGTCATGCCAGGATACGACAAGACCAAAATACTGATCAATGCAATAAAACCACAACTGCCTTTTTCTTCCATGATTTGTCAATTATTAAATTCTCAACATACAATTCTCAATACATATCAGTTTTGCATTAGTATAAACGGTCAACTTGCATTCTATAGTAACTGATCAAACTCAATTAGAGACTGGTCCAGATCTTACTACACTTGCAAGAAAGTATGTATATGAAGTACACCACGAATAAAAAGCTTGTTTATTCATGGCACAACATACAAAGCATAATTACATGGAAATTAAAATCCAGCGTAAATCCCTGAAGCTAGCTCCTCATAACAAAGAGATTTAACAGCGAGAAACTGACTTAATAACGAGGTTATAATAGCACCGGAAGAAGCAGCCACTATCTGTTGAAAAAATGACGTTGTGCTGGTAGGGTGTACTCTTTCATTGTGTTCCATACGAATCTGTTTTTACCACAAATTTGATCCAAACTAATTAACAAGATAACTATTGCCTGGAATAGTAAAGAGGTTTGAATTGTATTGGTAATGGCAACATCAATCAATTCCAAAGTCCATCAAAGACCCATCACTAATTCATATTCCTCTTCCGTGTTCCACTTTTATGTTCAACAGTGACAGTGACCCCAACACTATTCACCATTCCCAGCAAACAAAAAAAATTCTCAAGACATTATGCCGTATTCTGCAGCAAATGAATGATGAACGACATGAATTAATTATATTTATTTGAAAACAGCATTAAGGAAAATAGGATAACAGCTTCGCTTTAATAGTTTAATTACAGCCAATCTTATGCAAACTAACTGGAAAAGAAGCAACAAAAAACCAAAATCTGCAGCTGCTTGGGAAAAAATACTCTACAGCTGTGAAGTGACTGAAAGGTAAGTAAGGGAAATGAACATATGTAAAAACTCAATGACTAAAAAGTAAGAAAAATAAAATGATAAAATAGTAACATCAAAAAACAGAGTGCAGAGTACCAAGAAACAACAGTAACAACAAGATCACAAGTTGAAGATTAACAGTAACCTCTTTCATCCTTCTTCACAAAAAAAGTACCATAACAAACAGCTTATTCGAGTGAATAACCAAATGCAAGATAATGTACCATTCTCGACACAATAAAAAATATACAGATCAACTAGAGCTTTTATATACTATCGTGCCGCCCAAATAAAATGTATTGCCGTTATTTTGTAGATAAATTTTTCCAGTTTGTATATCTGCCTTGAACCGTGCTGGAAATAAATTCTGTCCGCAGTTGCTTTCTCGAATTTAAGCAAATATGTACACCTATTCAAAACATGAATTTTCTTCAAAAAATCAACAAAGTTTACCAGAATCAGGGATGCGTTCATTGTTTTCCAAAGGATTTTTTAATCCTATCAACTTCCTATCACCACCCAAAGGATCCAAATATCGCCATAAAGAAATAGCTTGCCTGGCTGAAAGAAATGTATCGCCAGAACTACTAAAATAATATTACCGAAAATTCAGATAAACAAATTTCCCTAAACCTACTAAACCTGCGTAATCTCGATACATTGAATTGAAATGCTTAGATCATTAAAACTTCACGTATGTCCAATCATCAGAATATTATTAAAACTGAAACTTACGCTTAATACCCGTCAAAAGCCTCTTTAAACGACGAATAATGACTGCTACAGTATCATCATTTATAATTGGAATTTCGATATCAAATAGACCAGAGCAAGGCTCCACGTTCCGAAGCATAATAGTAGTACCAGGCTTAAACGTCAAAAAGAAAAGTGATTAGTGTGAATATGAAGAATTAATTATTGATTATTTTCAAAATTTATCACGAAAGCATCGCAAAAGACATAAAATTCTACTAAATACTAAGAAATGAATGAATTAACGAAGTTACTTCTTGTTCTTTATACATTATGATCGGTTTTCCAGGATAAGCCATTTCGACCACATTTGCTGGAACTACTTCTTTTACATCAGTAATGATAACTTTTTCTAGATCCAAAGTTGATAATATGTAATCCAAATTCTGAAATCAGTAGAACATGCAGTTAATGTAGATATGTAAGGATAGTAACACTTGAATTGCAATAAATTTAAGTTTTAAACTAAAATCTGCAAAACCTTCAACAACGACTGTAGTCAGGAAAAAAAAGCAACAAAGAACCACAGAAAAACCTGCTCCAGAACTTCTTTCTGATTAAATCGACAAGCAATATCCAGCGCTGATTCTCCGTGCACTGCTAAGTTCTCACGTATCAGTTGAACAAAAGGCATCGTTTTTTTCATAAACTTCTTCAAACTCTCTATTGCACCTAAGCGACGAGATATCTCCTTGTTATCCGGTAACTCATCATTGCCTTCCTGCAATGGAATTAATTAGTATAAAATTTCACCTAGAAATAACACCACATAACTTAAGTGAGGAAAATGAAATGGAAGTAGTTGGTATAAGGAATGAATTATGAAAATAAGAAAAAGAATAATTCAAACCTGATAACACTGATTCAATAAGCCAAACACTTCCCTTTGCCAAGTTGGATACTCTTCTGCAAAATATATCATTGCCTCAGACGGTGGATTTGTATCCTTGCCTTTTTTTCGTTTCAAATTCATGTAGTTTTTCAAACGCAATCGGAAATCCTGAAAATTATTCTAGTGTAGAATTACACCATAATCTGCCAAACAAATCTCAGCAAAATCAATAAAAACTAATTCACGATGATTTGAAGCTAACCCTGATTGTATCATCCATGAACTGGGCTTTTTTCGTCATCAGATCATCAGCAGGTGGGGTAACGGGCCATTTTGCGCATACAATAAAGCCATCCTGGAAATCAAATACGCTTAACGATCCAGCTTCATTTTGCTTTGAATAACAAAAATTGTAGCAACACTATTAATGCTAATAGACATGTTAAACACAATAATTCCAGAGTGCAACCTTCCCCAAAATCTGCCATATTTGTTCAGATACGTGAGGACAAATTGGCGAAAGAATAATTGCTTGTGTTTCAATCCACTTGAAAACCATATCAGCATGCATTCCCGTATCACCTCCACAGTGCTCGCGATATTTGTCACGATAACTCTATACCATAAATTATACCATGAATTAGTCAATGAAAAAGACGAAGTATAAAATTTCTATTAGTTATTTTAATCACTAGTTGCAATACGACTTGTGATAAAACTTGTGATTGAGGCTTATTCCAAATGCATCGCGTCATACCACAATGCATATCCTTGAACATGGACAGCTTTCAGATAAATAGAGTATTCAGCAATGTTATGTGCTCAAAATAACTAACATAAGTTACAACTGACTTTTTATTAATCTGCATCAAAAATAAAGGAAAAAATTCCGTTTAGGTACCTGATATTCAAAGAATCCATGTTTTAAAGCTTCTTTGAAAAGAGTTTGTCTATAGCTATTGAATGTTTTTTGAATTGCACTGTTCATTTCATTGTTGAAAACCTGGTCAGCAAAAGTGAATTTCTGTCCGTTACGTAAACCATCATGTTCCCGTAAAGCAACCATTTCACGTGACCACACAAGGAGATTGTACAAACGCAGTACTGCTGCATCAGCCATATCGTAGACAAAATTCGCATCTTCCACGTAATCCCCTGCATCCTGAAATTGAGAGTGTTAATTCCTAAGAGCGAAAACGTAACCACCTGTAACAAGCAGTAGTTTAATAAACGACAAAGTATAACTAACACATAAATACACATGAATTTTATTTTTTTTTAAAATTTAATTTAAGAAATACATCGCAGTGAAAACAAAAAGAAAAACACTGCACTAGAAAGGATATCACACTGCATCAAAATGTATAGTAAGCAGTTCGGCATGAAAAATTCTGCATTTTTCGAATTTGCATATTAGAAATTTGATGAAAAAAATTCACCGCCAAAGAAATACGCATTCCATCGGCAGAGAACATTGCCACAGTCTCGCTAAGAGTCAAGAAATTGCCTGTTTGTTTGGACATCTGAAGCATTTTATCTGAGATGATGATACAGTGATGAAAAAGTGCAATTCGATGAAAAACTTTTTTCCAGTGTGTTCAGATATAAACAAATGTAAATTGAATCAGTCAACTGTCCGAACTTTCTCATTATTTAACAACAGATGTCCGTTTGCTCGTATGCTCCTAGGCCACAACTCGGGTTGATCTTTCCAGATGGCAACGTGATTGAATAAGTAATAAGTAAGGTGGTTCTGAAGAAGATCCTTACCGGAAGCACGCATATCAACCGGATACCTTAAAAATGTAGAGAAACTCGAAATCATTAAAAACGAATTTGATGTGTCTGATAATTTCCATAATTCGAAAAATGTTTCTGCTAAATTGATCAAGTAAGCTAAGATTTAATGCATTTTTTTAATGTGTTCCCATCTTATGTAAAAGATGCATCAAACAAAAAGAGTGTAATTATTTCCGTTATACATGATGTGGAAATATACCTATGCAATAAAAAAAAGGGAAACTCACCAATAACGAAATTCTTTTCTGCACATAGCTAATTGCGACTCTTGGACCGGCATTGTTTTGTCATTGTAAGGCTTATTTAAGAATATATAATCCCAACAGTCGGCAACCATATCCGATGCTCTGCAATTGGAGAATTATTACATTCCCAAACAACCTGTGGATTTCGTTGAATTTAACTGCAAGTATGTAAACTTGTAAGAAATACTTGATTCCAGCAGGACCGATGATGCTTCCATCAATGGCACCACCTTGCAAAAGATGTGCCACCGTATAGTATGCATTGTATATTGTTGAATCAGAAAGTGATTCAATGAGGTACTGCGGATCCCATGGCAATCTTGAACCCAAACCATATGATCGACAACAAGCATGCTCATGTAACCAGTCAATCGTTGCATCCAGATTTCTCCGGACCTAACAAAAAGTGAATCATGAAAAATTAATTTACATTTGTTTACAACAGTTAGCTTACGGTTAGATATTCTAGAATTTTTTAGAAAAATTAACATCTTCTGTATATGTATTCAGTTGAGCCAAAGCTTTTTTCGTTTCCTTCTTCCATTTTTTCATCACCGTAATTTAGATACCTGCAAAAAAAAAAATATATATATATATATATATATATATTATCTACGTACAAAACAGACCTTCAATCCAACAAACACAAGATAAAAATCGACCTTGTGGAGAATGACTCCTCAAGCTGCAGGATAATTTATGAAATATTAATTCTTTTGTAATATAAAAGAATTTCCCACACAAAATTGTAGAAAAAGAAAAACTGTTCATCGGACTTTGTTTCTTTCTTTTTTTTTGGTGACTGTATTGCTGAATGCTTTCATTATATTGCTACGAACAAAACTTCCTAGTGCTCAAGACGTATGCTAAATCATATTGAAAAATCGAACTCCGTGCCTTTAACCAAAGTATTCTTTATTAAATAATCGTCATTCCTATGAAGTCATGTCACTACTTTTCCAAATTAAAATAACAAGATATACCACTGATCACATAAAGCCACGACACATTCATCACCAGAACGTGATACAACTTTTTTTTCTGGTTCAACAAACAGTGTTGCCACTCCGGATGCAATTAATTCGTTTTGAATTTTCTTCTTTACTTCTGCAGTTTTCTGCCCAGCATACTTACCAGTTACCATTATCTGAAATTTTTTCCTCAAATTTAACTTGAAAAGGCAACCGATTTTCACTATGAGTCGATGTCTTATGAATAAAGATACAGCATATAAAAATACAAATAAAGATGAAACATGTCAAATACATACGCCATCATAAAATCCTTTCAGATACACTTCTTTCTTAGCTTCTGCCAATTTTTCTCGATCATTCTGACTTTCAATCTTCATTTCTTGACAAAGATGCACAGCAGCCATTTCTCCATATTCTGGTATTTTCACAACTGGGATCTGCAAAATTGCATCCAGCAATTTATGAAATTTCACCAATGTAGCATTGGCTATATCTTAATTCCGGAAGGTAAAAATTTAAAATGTCCACGAAATTATTGCTTTAATACGACAAAAGGCATGAATGCAAAACGGATTAACAACAAATTAACTCCCAGAAAAGTAATATTAAAACGCATAACTTACCGGCTCATACGGCAATACCATTTCATCTTTAATGTTAAATTTTTCTCGAAATGGTTTCTTTCTCTTCAAATCCATTAAAGCCGCAAAATCATCTGGTGAATCAGATGGTACGCTAGTCACAATACCGGTCCCTATAAGCAAGTAATGGGGAAACCTTGGTATAATAGTAACACCAATTTTTTGACGAGTTACTGGATTGACCACTATGAGATTGTAACCTATATTCTTATTTTTCGAATCTTTAAAAAATGAACTAACCCTTATCGTCTTTGATAATCAGCATAGGTAATGAATAGATACAATCATATTTCGTTAGCGGACTTTTTAATGCCAAACCAAGCAACTGCTTGCCCAATATCTAAAAAATGTAAAGTCTGTAGACAGCAAAACAATCTTAATTATATTTTAGTAATAAGCTGTACAAGCGAAAAATAAAATTAATAAAGAAAAAGAGGACCTTTTCAGCACCATCGACAAACCGTATTTTTCCATTTTCAGCAGTCATTTCCTGATAACTCATATTTCTTGCAGCTCTTTTTGTTGCTACAAAAACTTCATTTTCTTTTTGGCCAGCATAGAAAGCACAGTACCTTGAATAAGAATACAATGAATAAAAATACATAATGATACGGCTGAAAATATATATTAGACATTCAAAATTAAGAGTTCCCGTATTTTTACATCTTTGTAAATCCGGATGCAACGAAAACATTAAGAACAGAAAAGAGCTTAACAGATTACCATTTAACACTAATTAAAATTCCTCATCTTTTATTTAAATTTAAACAGTTTGATAAAAACTGAGATGCATACTCAATATCCGGATGAACAAAGCAATTCGTTTGTCCGTACATTGTTTCAGGCCTCAGTGTTGCAGCAACTAGGAACACATTTTTTCCACTCTTCGCAAGGAACTCTGGTAATGGTTCAAGGACCTGAAA